CTTGTTGTACCATCACGTTTAGATTCGTTTAGGTGCTTTTTTAACCGTCCTTCTCTGTCGCCAACAGTGTGGGAGAAACAGGTGATTTTTAATGTGGCACTGATTTTTAATCAGTGAGTCAGTTTGTTTTGGGAGAAGAAGGAGATCTCTGGGAATAATTAGGGCTCCAGTAGAAACTCCTTGAACATGGAACACTGAAGGAATAAATGTGGCTTCAGACTGAATAAAAAGTCAATGTATGACAGCTTCTGGCAGAGAACCACAAAGGAGATATGAAATGACAGATTTCTCTGAGTTTGAACATTGTTGGAAACATTTGGAATAATGTAAGTACACAACTCAACTACATATAGAACATAGGTCTAGAGTTTATAGATATTTGGAAATGTTACATATTGGAGCTTTAAAGGTCACTGGTATGATTTAGGACAATTGGCAGAATGTGGCAGAAATGTGTTGTAATATTCATCCTCCTCCTTACACACTCCTGCATACTCCTCTAGTTACACTTACACAACACCCTTTCATACATCTACAACACTCCCACCAACAAACAAAATCTAAGTAGATTATATTACAATCATAAAGTTTGTTGGATTTGTCTTGTGTTAATGTCTGTAGATTTTAGTAATCATTCAGACACAACAGACATTACAGTCCCTACCCCACTGCTGTCAGGGCAAAAAATATACTTGTTTTTGTAGTCACTTCAAAGTAATTTTGAAACCAATTTCAAACTGGATTTTCTTGTCCCCTCAGGCCCGTCGTGCTGGTGTGACCTGCATCATCCTGCCAGCTGAGAACAGGAAGGACTTCTCTGACCTGCAGGACTACATCACCCAGGGCCTGGAGGTCCATTTTGTGGATCACTACAGTCAAATATACCCTATCGCTTTCCCACAGACCCAGTCGTAACCTGCTTCCAACTACAGTGATGAAACAAAGCCAAGATAGACTAGGATTTGGGACTACAAAACCCAGACCCTGTTTGTTGACACATGACACTGATAACACTGTAATTCTGGGTGTAGTTAGTAAAAGCCCCCTATTGCTTTTTGACTGATTCAGCCAATGCAGTTGGGACTCTGAGGTCCTGCTGTTGAAACTGTCACTATGTTGTTCCAGAATCATTCGGGGGAAATATAATTAAGTTTCAACCACCACAGGTCCCCCGAATATACGAGGACCGCCACGTGCTAAAGGACAGCATCACTGGACTGAAAGCAAGCAGCCGACTGTGTACACAGTGAAATAATGGTGGTGATGAACACTGACCTGTCATTACAGAATATGATGTCTTCGATGGGTAGAGGTTGAGGCGGCAACTTTGCTGCCGGGCAGCTTCTTTATCCACAGTTTTCGACACACAGGACTGTGGATGGACTCTTTCATAGATTTCTTATATTGTTTTATATTATTATTGGACAGATGTGATGATGATGAAATAAATTAAATTATAATCAGATCTTCTGGCTTCTGTTATCTGTACTAATCAAGCTATGAACAGATTTTCTAATTGACACAACCAAGACGTCATCCAATTGTCTAGACTGTTGGTTGTTTTCAAAAACGAAAAGGGTGCACAGCATGATCAAAAATACAGAAAATAATCTAATCATTATATTTGTTTATCTGTATTCTAGGTGTTTTTTGTTGGACATTCTATATTAGGAATACGCCTTTGAGATGTACCATCTCGTTTTCAATGAGGTCCTTGACAAAAGTACCATACACACAGTTACACAAAACATTTGACAAAAATATCAGCATACAATTAAACCGAATTTGACAAAAAGCAAAAATACAAAGATGAAACAAAAACGACAAAAAAGCAGAACAACAGAAATATAGAAAACAAAGCAAAAGGGGCAAAAAGTAAATATCAAGACAAAATGAGAAGATCCAAACAGAGCATGAAAATGGATCATTCATTCATAGTTTAGAGAGGTGGTATTGATGTCAGTGAGAGCGGGGGGGATGGTAGGGACATGTCCCTATGGTAGATAGAAAATGATACTTTTCTCCTAAACTTCCCTCTAGGGTGTTAATGCTACCCTGGCTAAGCTGTTTCACTGTAAATGCATTATGCTGGTGCCCCCCAACAGCCGTCACTGCTGAAATAGATTACATTATATTTGATTGCGTTTTTTCCGCACACTCACTGCAACACATAGACCAAACCTAAATGTAATACCCATTTATAATTTTGTGTTAATACTTTTATTGTGAATGAATCGGGGCGGAAGTGTTCTGTTGTTACTGCTGGCAAAACACAGCTAATTGACTCTGTGGTCCTCAGGAGCATCAGCGTGGGCTGTGAGGTTGAGGGGGTGCGCTGGAATAACGGGGTGAGAGAACAGCTGGATGCTGGGATTTAACACAGACTCCTCGGTCTCCCAGCGGTTTCCAGTCGGTGCTGCGGGATCTACCGTCCGACCTGCTGCTGTTTGACGCTCCCTGTCTTTTTGCAGCGGTCCTTCTGTTCGAAGGATGCGACGGGCCCGCGGTGCTCTGCGCACTGTGGAAACAACAACCAGCTTCTGTTCTGCCTCTGGATGCCCGGACCCCCATCATCTGGCGATAACAACCCCCTATCGTTAGGATCAGAGCAGAGGGGATTAGAGGGCGTCGTACAGAGACATCACTGTCTCCTCCATTCTTCCTCAGCAAGGTATGAACAACAATAAGACGTCGTTGGCTTTATTCCTCATCTGTTTGTACACACACATCTGAGAAGTTGTTGTGCTGTAGAATTTTACACACTGAACTCAGGTTAATACTAATGTATGTAGGCTACAGTGCTGGGATCAGATGTTGTTTACTGTTATTGTGTTGTGGTGGGCTCAGTCCGTTAAGGTGTCGTGGCCTACAGCAGCTGGATATTGAACCGCTCCAGTGATCCCTCAAACGGCACATGACTTTATTGTATCGGGCCCGAACCACCGAGACTGGAAGGGACTGTAAAGGAATGCAGAAACAGTTGCCTATAAAAACATCTGCATACAATTCATTAAATGCTGAAATGAGTTCATATTCTGGCAGTTGGGGCGCCAAAAATATTGTAAAACAACAGAAAATAACTGACTCGCATAAATACAGTAAGTTTCTATAATTAATATACAGTTTTTAGCTTTTCTTTAAATCTTTTCTAATTTGTTTTTTTTAATGTTTAAAGATATCTACATGAAATTACCTATAAATACAGGCGAACATTGATATAATACAAATAATAAGGCTTACATTTTCAGAAGAGTGCTGTTATTATTTGATTTTTCTTATTTTAATCTGAATTTGCTGCCATTACAACATACTTCCCTTCTGAAGTTATAGAACTGCAATAAAAGTCACCATCTGTGAAATGACAGTAACCATTGCTGTTTTCACTGATAAAAACTGTACTGTTTTGAAAGTGCTTATACATTGATAAAATAAAAATGTATTTAACGTTTTTCTTGTAAAAACTTCCATAATTATACAAGATGTCTGTCAATTAACAAACAAATGTAAAATTACAGAACCATTACTTTCTTCTTTACTGTTGTCACTAATTTTACATAATTTTAGAAATGTATTAACAGTGTTAAACATGAAGTAAATAAATGTATTAAATAAACAGTAAATATCTGCGAAAACAATTATAAATTGGTAAATGTATTTTAACTGTCTTTTTATGTGAAACAATATTTTCTTTAAATAAGTAGTAATGTCATGATTATGTACAGTTATTTTACATGTAAATTCACAGGGCATTTTTGTAATGGTATTAATATTTCAGTGTATTTAAAAAGTACAGAAAAATACAGAAAAAAATCAGTAAAATCCTGTAAACTTACAGATTTATTATACAGTGTAAACTGGGCACTTTTATCAGGTAGCCTACAATCTTAGCCAAACATTCTACCTTTGTGAGGTTTCTTATGTTCTGTTTTTGTATATTTCATTTAAAGCCAGACTAATATGAGATTTCACAGTATATTGAATCATAACTCTTATCTTGATACGTATCATATCACTAGATTGTATGCACAGCCTTAATATTGTCAACCAATTCTAGTTGACGTTGTTTAGAGCTGCTTCTTCTCTTTAATGCTGTGCTGCTTGCCACAGTATTGTAAATTACAGTGTACTCTGCTGGTTACTTTTGCAGTGACACCAGTATTTTAATACAAGTAATTATTTCTGCATTACTGGAACAAAACTGTTTTCACATCGGCCCATATTGGATAACATACGCTGATGCCGATAAGATACCAATATGTCTGTGATAGACCAATATTGGCCGATAATATTGGGTGACCGTAATATTGGTCAAGTTCCAATTAAATCATATGTTTATGATTGAGGTCATAGGTATAAGTGGTGTTGTAATGAGGTATTTGTTTGTATTTTTCTCTCCTACCGATTTACATACATGAGGGGGACTGAATATTTGAAACAGCGCTCAGCACTCATAATGCAGTCCAGTAAAACACCACCACTACCGATACAGTATAATAAAATGAACATTATAGGCATCATAAAAGTAGACTTAATGGCAGAACACTAGGGTCACATTAGACTGTACAGGTAATAAAGTGGTCACTGTGTATTTAACATGAAGATAAATTATCAAATGAAGGACAAATAAAGTCATAATAAAAAAGAAAGTAGTTAATTCTTTAGTTCTTCATGCCAATTGTTGCTCATGCTTGAAGCTGTATTCTAGATATACATTTTTGATACATTTATTTATTTTAAATACTTAAATTTTGTTAATTCTTCCCAAATTTCAGATGTTACTTTGTAGGTCTCATTGTACCCTGTAATAAGAGAATAGGTACACAGTAATTAAAAGTGCCAACAGTGTATATTCTTCAAACATTGTCACGCCATTGTTCCCCAGCACATCTTGAGCACGTACTGTACTGGTACAGTGGTATGCTGGTAGTACAAGAATTACACTGTAAATGACTGTAAAAAAAAACAAAAAAACACTGTAAATAATCGGGAGTGTTGCTAAAATGTTTCTAAAACAGCAATAGAATCCTTCAGTGAGCGATGCTGTGCAGGTTTCCAGCTCTGTGACAGACAATGAAAAAGCCTTGATGATGGATCCGTATATGCAAGTCAATGCCTCATATCAAGGATGGTTCCCATGGTGACAGTGATTCACTGACTGATACGAATGTAGTGGTGTTATTGGTGCCCGGATTGTTATAATGAGTGTATTCCTCTACAAAGACATAATCCCCTGTGGAGCTGCTGTGAGCCAAACAACTGACAAATCTTAAGCTCTGTCAGAACTGTATTTTGGGAAATTATTATTATTATTATTATTATTATTATTAATAATAATAATAATAATAATAATAATGGGAAATAGTTATATGTATTGATGATATGGTTGATGGTTACAATGCTGCTTTAATGTTGTACCCAAATGTAAACCGTGTGAATCGTGTTGGAGTACCATTTTAAAGCCTTGGGTTATGGCAATATGGCTGTCGACATGTTTGGAGTCAGCTGCAGTGACGTAGTGCAAGTTAGTTATGCTGTTTAATTTGGACCCGTCCGTAGCAGGAAACAATGGTGGCTCACCTGGTCACACACACTCTCGAATTAATTCAATTAAATTCAATTTTATTTGTATAGCGCCAATTCATAACAGAAGTTATCTCAGGACTTTTCAAATAGAGCAGGTCTAGACCGAACTCCTTATAACATTATTTACAGACCCAACAGTACCACCATGAGCAAGCACTTGGCGACGGGGGCAAGGAAAAAGCTGCTGTTTAAGAGGCAAGAAAACTAGGAACAGACCCTTCGGCCTAAGCGTGGGTGGTCGTCATGCCTCAACCAGGTGGGTGAGAGAGCGAGAGAGAGAGGGAGAGAGAGAGAGAGCCAGACAGACAGACAGACGCACAGCAACAACAGTAGCAACAACTACACTAATAAGTAGTGACTG